GTTGACATCATTATTGGTTTTAATGAAAGCAATCAAAAACAGTAAAGAAAATAGATGAAAGAAAGCTTCACTATTGATGAACTCAGAGTTGAAGAATCCTCTCTAAAAAAGGTATATAACGGCTGAAAAAAGGTTTTTGTAAAAGTATGAAAGGTGAAGTCTAAAAATGACCTAAATTACAAGTAATTAAAATTTTCTATACTCCAAGGTCTCTAGGGTTCCGGAATTGAGGCTGGGAAATGACTTGGGCTTCAGAAATGGGGTTTTTAAGTCAGAGATGTCTGGCGGCGGTCGCGTGAGGTGTGACCATGGGAAATGAAGGCTTGGCCGCGGTCGCGTGGCTCTGGCCATGGTGGATGGGCTGCTGGCCGCGGTCGCGTGGCTTGTCAGTCGTCTTTGAATGTCTCCGGGGCAAATGAAATATCTTGAGATCCAACCGTTAGAATATCTCCAAACCAAGTGCATTTGAAAGCTGGTTGAGTCTTCTATTAGTTGTCCAATTTTTAGGGTGATCAGACGCTGAGAAGATCTTCGTCTCTCCATGAGAGTTGTGACGGTCTGAATTATCCAAAATAGTCTTTTTGTTCCAATTTGCACCTCTTTATCGCAAATTACCTGAAAAGTCTTTTAAAATCCAAAAACATATAAATCATTTGAAAACCTTTGAAAATGGAGCAAAAACACCTGCAAAAGATATTAAAGTGATCCATAAAAATGGTCAAAATCCGGTGTTATCATGATGCCGTTTGGGTTGACCAATGCACCTGCAACATTTATGAAGTTGATGAATAATCTTTCCCGAGCATACTTGGATAAGTGTGTGATTGTTTTCATTGATGACATTTTGCAGTTAGTGTTAGAGGAGCTAAGGAAGCACCAGCTTTTTGCTAAGTTGAGCAAATGTAGAGGAAGATTGGATTTCTTGGTCATGTTATCTCTGAGGAAGGAGTAGCAGTGGATCCAGAAAAGATTTCTGCCGTGACAGAATGGCATATTCCTAAGAATGTGACGGAGGTCCGTAGCTTCCTAGGATTATCCGGATATTACCGCGGATTTGTTCCGGTCTTTGCGAAGCTGATGAAGCCGTTGTCAAGTTTGGTCAGGAAGGATGAGAAGTTTGAGTGGACAGAGGATCGGGATAAGAGTTTTGAGGAGTTATAGAAGCGATTAACCGAAACTCCAGTGTTGGTACTTCCAAGGCCAGGAATACCATATGAAGTCTACACTGTAGCCTGCGGAACAGGTATAGGTGGTGTGCTTATGCAGAAAGGGAAAGTCATAGCATATGCCTCTAGATAGTTGCGGAAGCACGAAATGAACTATCCCACTCATGATTTATAGTTAGCAGCATTTGTGTTTGCTTTGAAGATCTGGCGTGCTTATTTGTACGGAGATAATGTGAAAATATACACAGATCATAAGAGTTTAAAACATGTTTTCACTCAAAATTATTTGAATTTGAGGCAGCAAAGATGGATGGAGTTGTTAGTGGATTATGATTTGGATATTGCCTATCGCCCAGGAAATGTTAATCAAGTGGCAGATGCTTTCAGTCGTCGCAGAGGAGATGTTGCTAAGGAAAAAGAAATGGAGAATCTAACCGCAACATTGGCAAGTCTTCAGTTGTGTGTTACTGAAGTGGATGAAAATTTCACGGATCTTGAAGCATTATAAAATGCAGATCTTCTGTGGAAAATTTGTCAGGAGCAGAAGAGTGATGATGCTCTAAAGGAAATGGTTGAGAAGCAAGTGGTTGGGTACCACATGGCAGATAATCGAGCTTATATGTATAAGAATCGAATTTGTGTTCAAAGCAGCGAAGACTTGAGGAAAGAAGTGTTGAGCCAGGCTCATAACTCAAAGTTCTCTATTCATAAATACCAAGATGTATCGAGACCTGAAAAGATACTATCATTGGGGAGGAATGAGAAAGGATATAGAGAAATGGATCTCTCAGTGCGAAACTTGTAAGCAAGTGAAGGCAGAGCGCATGGTTTCCAGTGGATTACTTCAGAGCTTACCACTACCAGAATGGAAAGGGGATATGATAACTATGGACTTTGTCACGGGCTTACCAATGACATTGGATAAGAAAAATGCAATTTGGGTAATTGTGGATCGTCTGACTAAGTCTGCTCATTTTGTGCTAATTTGGAAAACCGATGGAGCATAAGCTTTGGCACAGAAGTATTTGGATGTGATTGTGAGGCTGCATGGAGTTCCTGTTAGTATTGTGTCGGATCGAGATGCAAAGTTCACGGCTGCGTTTTGGAAAGCATTTCAGAAGGCGCTAGGGACCAAAGTGCATCTAAGTTCAGCTTATCATCCCCAGACCGATGGCCAATCGGAAAAGACAATCCAGACCCTGGAAGATTTGTTGAGGTCTTGTGTCTGGACTGGGAAGGAAATTGGGGAAAGTATCTTCCGTTGGCAGAATTCTCTTACAACAATAGCTATCATTCTAGCATTAAGATGGCTCCGTACAAAGCACTGTATGGAAGACCGCACCGTACACCTCTCTGTTGGACCAGTGTAGGAGAAATGAGTGAAATGAATCCTGAATTGGTAAAGGATGCCGCCAAGCAAGTCGAGTTGCTTAAGGCAAGGCTGAAAGAAGCTCATGATCGTCAGAAGAGTTATGCAGATGTTCGCCAGAAGGATTTGCCTTTGAGGTAGGAGATGAAGTGTACCTGAAGTTGAGAGCCTTCATAGGAAATGATAGGCATCGGAAGTTGAAGAAGCTTAAGCCAAGATATATGGGTCCGTATCCAATAGTCGAAAGGATTGGAGAAGTAGCATATCGACTTCAGTTGCCTCAGGAGTTTTCTGAACTTCATGATGTGTTCCACATTTCGCTACTTAGGAAGGTAGTAAGGGAACCAAAATTTATTTTGTCTGCCCCGCCAGCTGACTTGAAAGGAAATTTGTCAATTCTGAGTAAGCCGTCTGAGATCTTGGAGTTTGGAGAGAATAAGGTCGATGGTAAGAAGACTAAGATGGTGAAACTCAGATGGGAAAGGGATGGCATTTGCGAGGAAATGTGGGAGCCAGAGCAGCAGATGCAAAAAGAGTACCCTGAACTCTTTCCAGTCGGAATGGAAACTTATGAGGAGGGAGCGAATTTGAATTCGGGGACGAATTTTTTTCAACAGGTGGACAATTGTAACATCCCAGCCCATCAAGAAGCCCAGCAGGAGGCCCATTTCCAACTCTCTGTAGATATAAAAGGGAAAACCCTAAGGAATGAGCCCCATTCCCTGCAAATCAGCCCCCATCCGCAGAGAGAGAGAGATAGAGAGATCGCCCAGCAGCAGCAGAGATCCCTTTCCGCCACCGATCTCTTCCCTGCCGGCGTCAGAAGCTTTGCCGAGTCTCCTAGAGCCGCCACGCGTCGATCCCAAGCCGAGGAGGAGCCACAGAGAGCCTCTTCTTTCTCATCGTTTGCTTGATTCTTTTAGTTCTCAGTCTTCTTAATTCAGATCTGCAATTTGGCTAATGTGAGGAGTAGGTCTAGATTCTTAGGACCTTATTTGTTTGTTTTTGGTGTGTTGAGTTTAGAACTATTCAGTTAGTTGATTTGATGCATTTAGGGAGATCATGAGAAGGTGAATTGAATAAGAAAAGCATTAGATGAAGCACCAGCATGAATTGTTTGTTCACCTTGATGATTGGCTAATGATTGTAAAGTAGCTAGAAAAGAGGTGATCGAGACACTAGGTTTGATAATTGTTTGTTGGGTTTCATTCCTAGAAGAAAGGATGATTCTCATCGCCAGGTGGTTGTGGCGAACCACTCATTGTCTTTGTGACCAAAGAGTTTGCCATGTCTTGAACATGATGAGAGTTTACCATGTCTTGAACATGATGAGAATTTGTCATACCTTGAGCATGATGATCTGGTGCGCTTGAAATTGCGTGTGTGCTTGTAGAACACTGTTTGTTACTTGTTTAGTTTTAGGCTTGATATATTAAAAATAAATGGATAATGTTTTAGGAGTGTGGATTTATTTCCTAGTGAGTAATTTTTCCAAATTATTCACCCCTCTCGAATCTTTATTTTTTCAGGTGAGTATGAGGATTATGATCTTCACTGTTACGAGGAAGAAGAATCTTAAATGGTGTGCTTTTGGGACGAGTTTTTCTTTCGTTTTAATTTGTTTTTCAGTACTTTTAAAAAAATTTATTAGTTATTTGCTTCAGTTTATTTTTAAGAAATATTTATGAATTTAATTACAAGATTTGATTTTTATTAAATGAATAAGAGTATTAATCAGAAATATGTTTATTTAATCTAATAAATGTAGTAAACCAGTTAGAAGTGAAAGTGAATACTCCGGTTTGTCTGGTAGACGGGTCGGAAGTTCACAACTATAAATGTCGTCATTGTTACAGTCACAGACACCATCACTATCGATCGATGACACTATTGTCGTGGTTACCACCATTGCAGTCGTCACTGTTATCACAATTGTCACCATCGTTACCACCATCACCATCACCACCAACACTATCACCATCGTTGTTGTGAGTACTATGGCTAACTTGTCAACTCTCTACCTTCACCATCCTTCATCGCCTGTCTTCTGTTCTCCTTTCTTCTTTTTTCTTCCCTTTTTCTTCTCATTGGAGGAGTGTTAGATGAGGGAGAGAGAAAATTATAATTAGATCGAAAATATAACAGCAAAAAGATTTTTGTTAGCGAATAGTGACTATGAAAGAGAATTAATTTTGTAAATATCTATTACCATGTATTGCTATTACTCATCTTAAGTAATAACGATTCTATTGTGGTTATTTAAAAAATAAAAACCTGGTTAGCAATATGATTTTGGAGTCTAGTCTCTATATATCTTCAGAAGGAGAGTGAACGGAGGCGCTCTAACTAAATAAAATGTCTTAATAGCTCCATTATCACAGCCCTTCAGACTGTAAATCTTTAACCTCCATGAAATCGGTTTCCATAATTCTGTAGCAGTAGATAAAAGATTCCTTCAATTTTTTATGTTGTACAAACGAAAAGTTTTTGATTTCTTGTTCATCTTGTAGACTCTTTCTTTCATCATTACATATAATACAAACCCTTAAAGCAGGACAAATGAGCTGGACAAATGCAGGACAAATGAGCTGCCACAGAATCTCAAAACCATAAAATATGCTTCGATTACATATGGAAACCACCGATGGTGGCTGCGATGGAATTCCAACGTCAGAATGATGGGAAAAAGTATGACTGAGTTTAAAACCAAAGAATCTGGTTTCAGCAAATGATCAATCTTGGTTTGAAGTTGCTTTCTGAAGAACAATACACCAATTGGACTTGTCGTAAAATCTATCAACTATCATTGCATTGCCAACTCCTGATGCCAACCTGTGAAAGATTATTACTACGGTATTAAGATACAGGACTTAAGATAATCGATATACTGTATGGTGAAGCAAATTACTCCATTAAAACTCACAATACCTTTCAAGCTCGCCTTCACTGAAGACATGGTAGTATCTGTTATACACAACAGCTCCTTTTCTATCATCTTTCTTTGCAAGCCCACTTGCAAGTGCAGATGCAGATGCACCACTCACTTCAGCGCGGTGGTACGGTAAATGCCACGGAACAAAATACTCTTGCTGATTCATTTTCAAAGCCTCCAATGATTCTTCAATAGATTTCTCATCTTTAAGCTCTCCCATGCTGTTCTTGGTCTCTGTGATGATCTCAGCAGCCTTTTGCTCTCTCATGCTCTCCTCGGTTTCCGGAATGCTCTCAAGACCAAAGGACGGGCTGTTCTCAGCCTTTTGCTCCTTTGTACTTACCTCAGTCTCTGGGATGCTCTCAAGACCGAAGAACGGATTGTTCCTCACACGAGGGCTGTTCATTGGACTACCTGGCCCGACCCATTCCTCAACATACTTTGGAGACAAGGGTGTCCATTTTGTGAGCAACGATTTGTCTTCCTGTTCTGCAGCCCAAACCGTTATGAGAACAAAACCCCCTGACTTAACCACCCGGACCAGTTCTTCAATGGCTTTCTTCCTTCGGTTCTCCGTGCTTAAGTGATGCAAAACCGCTATGGAGATTGCCGAGTCGCCAAACCCTTCTCTGTAAGGAAGATTCACAGCGTCTGCAACCAAAACCTCCTGGCCTTTATCCGAACAGATTTTGATCAGTGGGTGGCTTATATCACATCCTATGAAGAAACAACTTGGGTTTAGCCCCAGATACTTCCCGTTACCGCAACCTGCATCAAGAATCACAGATCCAGAAGGCAATGATTCAAGAAAAGCAGCGACTTTAGGCCACTTCGCAAACCTTGTGGAGCTGAAATGTGGAGCAATCGCGTCGTATACCCGATGAACATACTTCTTCTCGATCTCTGGCGTCGATTTTACGCTCAGGGACGAAGAAATCTCGTTTTCTCTGGTAGAAACTGATTGAAGAATCTGAACTTCCTTTTCTTCTTCTTCTTCTTTATGAGCTAACCTAGAGTTAGCTTTTACTTTGACGTCTCGCATTATACTTGTTGTGGTTATCGAATTAAACCCAAAAAATGAAGGATTTCGAGCTCTGCAAGAAATTATAATAGTTCTCAAAACTTCCAAAAACATTAGCTTAAGCCGCCATGAATCTGCAGAAGAAAGCGCAGCCCATGGAACAAAACTATTAGCTAAATCATAGATTCAACTTCTAAAATCCAGATTCAAGATCCCAATAAGAAGCAGCATATATCAACGGAAGCTCGAAATCGAATCCAATTTCATCGCAAAATCGCAATTTTGTATAATACAAAAGTCAGTTAGCTTTGAGGAGAAGGAGAAGAGGAACTTACAGAATCAAGAAGGAACAACGAGCAGAGGAGATGGGTGAACCGATTGGAAGTGTCGGTTCGTAATCTGAAACAGAAGGTAGATTTAGGGTTTTGCGACAGGGACTTGCTGAAAATTTGAGATTAGTACTTCATATTTAATCAGTTGACGATATTTAAACCATTATTTACTCTTCTGAATAAAAAAAACCCATGCTTAGGCAATGTTCTTATTAGTGTACATGGATGCAAAATAGACTGATTTACTGAGTCTGTTCGTTTGTCTCCCGCAAGAGGCCGCACTACAACCTGCGATCAAGTGTTGTTCGTTAATAGATGTGCTCTCCTGTAGCTAAACGATGTGTTCAACTGCTGTGACCTGTGTCTGAAATTTTTTGACTGAAAAGATTTAGCTTTGCAACTGGAACTCTTACAACCAGTCACAGAGAGCCACATGGCTGCCAAACAAACAAGAATCTGCATCATTTGATCGCAGCGTCTATCCACAAGCGACAGACAAACGAACAGATCCACACAGTTCAAGTTTGTCACTGTGACAACCTAAACATTTAATTTTTATTCATCTTTTATCAATCACTTAATCATTCTTGATCAATAAAATTATTGTATCTTTTTCTGTTAATAAAAATCTATGTTCTTTTTTAATTAGGTTGTTTGACGAAAAAGTGGAGAAAATAAAGAGCTATTTCCATTACAAGTTTTGAATGAAGTTCAACAAGGAATAGAGGAACTGCAGATGAAAATGGACAACAAGTCCTTCATTCTTGTTAACTCATAAAGTTGGGCTACTATCGAAGAAAAAGCTAATGATGGAGAAGCGCAACAAAACCATCACGAAGCCAAAGATGACGATCAAGACCAAAGTGATCCAATCCCTCAGCCAAATTTGGGACAGTACTAACCAGAAGCACCATCAATTCACACATTGATAATGATTCTCAACTATAGATTTCAATAAAGAGTATGGTACTGAAAAACCTCGAAAATTGGTCAAATGTCTCATTCATATGCGATTCTATGATTAATGAGATAGAATGTAAAGAACATGAAAGTGCAAATTCTTTGTCAGCTGAGCCACTTAGAACAGTCGAATCAGTTTAGTACCTTCTCCACTTTATCCTTAAAAAATGTTCTTTTTCTTATAGATTATTCTTTAATATTATATATATGTTTTTCATTCTCTCTATTTTATTATATAATTTTCTCTATTTTTATTCTATATATAAATATAAAAATTTTCTTTTTTTAATATATATTATGATAATATATTTATCATATATTTATAAATAGAATTAATATATATATATTACTATTAATATACTATTAATATAACATAACTTTTTTTATAGAACTTTCTCAGTAATTCTATTTACATAAAAAATAAAGATTAGATAAAGAAAAGATTCAAATTCAAAAGAGAAAAAAAAAAGAAAAACACAATAATAGAAATAATAGAAATAGAGAGAATGTGCTCTTTTATTGAAATGAAAACTCTCTCAGGCCCCCTTCCTGAGGATTTTCAAAAATGTTTGAAATGGCTCGGCTTTTTTCTACATCTGCTTTCTCCTTACCGGAATTAACCACCCCACCCTCTGATCCGCCGGTTCTCCGCAGAATATCGCCGCATCTTGGGCCAAGTTCCACGCCAAAGAATCTGCATTCACAAGAACCGAAGACTTCTAGGCCCTGCAATGACGTTTTCCCCACCATCTAGCTTGATGCTATGTATCTTAAAAATAAGCTTATAAGTGTTCTAGATATGCAAAAGCGCCAGACTCTCATTGATAACACCGTATTTTGACCACTTTTATGGATCGTTTTGAAATACTTTTTCTATGTTTTTAATTGCTTTTAAGTACTTTTATCACGTTTTTCTAGTATTTGTAGTTCCAAGACTCTTTTCAGGTAACTTAGGGAAAGACTTAACAAAATGGATAGAAAACCAGATTTCAGCTCAGAGTCAAACCGTCAGAAGTTCACCCCTGATTGAAGGCCTTCTCACCGTCTGATCCAGCTCAAATTTGGAGACCTTAAAGATGGAAGTATCAGATTTCCAGTGCACTTTACAGCTTGGCAATCCAACGGTTCAATCAAAAGATACACGAAGAGCAAGATGTCCCGTAAACCAGCTGGCAAGCACTTCCACCCGCGGCCAACAAGCATTTTCCCGCGGTCAGGAGCATCCCGACCGCGGCAAACCACCCATTCCCCGCGGTCAGAGCACTCCCGACCGCGGCCTTCAACCTCCGAGCCCAAAAAGCCCATTTCTGAAGCCCACATTTGGAGAAACCCTAAGTGACGTCCAGAGAGGTCTTGAGCACTATAAATACATGTCTTAGGAGCCCTAGAAATCGTGTAACCGAATACCATCTATCATTACTTCATATTTTTATTGTTTTTGCTTTAGCTTTTAGGGAGTGAGAGATTTGTTCTCTTGAACCCTTGTTCTTTCTTTTTCAATTTCGGTTTATATTCTACTTCTTAATACTATGTCTTTGATTTCGTTTATTATGTCTGAGTAGTTTTATTGTTGGGATTAAGGGATTTTCGATGGGGATTTATATGTTCGATGAGGATTCCATTGGCTATTGAGCTGAATCTTAGAACTTATTCTTTTGAATTCGTTTTTACTGCAGGAGAGTAGCGTCATGAACTACAATCTGATCCAGATGCTTGGTGACACGAAAGTGTTCATCAGGTATCAGATCTAGTTTGGGAGACCAAAACAAACATAGGAGTGGAAACCTACCTATTGGCGATTTGTGAATTAGGACGAGTCTTAAACATAATGCATCTCTTCTCTTCCAGAGCCAGAGTGGAAACCTACTGGTCAGGGTTGTCTATGATCACGACAGTGGCGTATTCATACGTCCGTGACTCCAGTTCGAAAAGTTTAAGCTAAGATCTTACAAAATTTCCTCTCTAGCAATGTTTTGAATGGTTCGTACCCCTGAGAAAACTTCCCTGAAGCCCAACGCTTTCTTCTCCATTGTTTTACACCGATTTTCTTTAAAGCTTTAGTTCAATATTGTCTTTCCTTTTTAGTTCATTCTCATTTAAGCATTAGAATATCTGTTTTTATCATTTTTAGTCATTTTCGTTAAGTTTAGTTATTACGTCATTTAATTTCCGTATTCTCTTTTAATATTTCGTTTTTAGATTTTAAACACACTACCAAACCCCCACTAAACTGTTTTTGTTCTAGACTTCCTTACTTTAACTTATTTCAAAGGCTTTTTGCAGGAAAAGATCCTCATTCCCTGTGGATTCGATCCCTAAGTACTACAATTGATCAGCTGTGCACTTGCGGCTATTGATTTCAATTAGGGTAAAACTTGAAAACCCTCTCAACACACGACAGCACACCACATCAAGTTTTTGGCGTCGTTGCCGGGGAAGGCACGCGTTTTCTTTTCTGCAAAACCCCGAGAAAGGTTAGTAAATCGACTCTAGAACCCCCTTTTCTGCAACTTTCCATTTTTCGGTTATTTTGTTTCCATTTCAGAAGATATGGATCCTATAAATCAAAATATACACTATGAGGAAGGTTTCTTTAACACTCCTCAAGCCACAAGACGCAGAGAAGAATACCAAGGCCGAAATCTTAGCTACATGGATCGATACAGCCAGCCAAACCACCCTTACCATCGGCGCAGAGATACTCTTCGATGCCGGGAAGATCCTTATGGCCCTCCTCCGATCTACTTCGAGCCACACGCCTATAATCCTCCACTTCAGAACCCTAGTCAGCAAGAGGACAACTTGAGGATCAGCAGACGTTTGGGACGCCTCAAAGGAATGATAAACCAGTTCCTTGATCAGCAGATTCTCACCGAGAACACCCTGCTCAAGAAAATTGATTCAATCTCTGAAGAGTTCAACAAAAAACTCGATGATATGGCCAATCATGTTCGAGTTTTGGAAGAGCAAAACCACAAGGACTCACAAACACTAGCTGGGATGATCCACCAAGTCGCAACAGAGCAGACAAGACAAGGGTATGACATCATACAAAACTCAAGTGATATTGTCAAATTAAAACAGGAGATTAAAGAAGTCAGAGAATCCGCCTCCTGGTATAGAGAGAAGACAGATGAAGAGTTGCAAGAGATCGAGCACAGACTGAACAAACTCGAGCTCAAAGCACGGGAGATTGATGCAAGAATGGAGCAGATGCCCAACATTGAGCAATTTGAGAGGTTTACTAAGAAATCTCCCAAAGATCCTGATGAAGATGCACATCAACGCCCTGGTATGAGTTCATATGATGCTAGTCTACCCAATAAAGAAGCTGGAGAGGTTCGTATCAAGTACAAGAAGGAAGAGACGGACTACGAGCAGTTTACATCCGGGGCCGTGGGTCCAAGCGTTCCGACCGCGGCCAATGCCTTGTTTCCCGCGGTCGCGACTCCTCTGACCGCGGGAGTTGGTCGTTCAGATGTTACTCCGGGTTTTGAGAGGAAAATAATACACCTTCTGTACCAACTTCAGCCTCCAGCACCTAAAAAGGCAACTCACGAAGAAGAAAACCAAGTTTCAGATGAAGAACCAGATTGGCAGGAATCGTTACCTTGTATGATGGCAAAGGAATGTGTTGAAGATTCAGCTGACTCTTCAATCCAAGAAGACCAGACGTGCAGCGAGATAAAGATGCCATACATTGATTCAATCATTGAATATGATGCTGCAGCTTTCTTTTGTGAATCATATTCTGCATTTGAGACACCAGCCAACACCTACAGAGAAAGGCAAGTTCGAATTCTCCATAAGGTCAAGACTACAGGTCAGTTTCTTATCTCTTGTTATATTAGAGGAGAAATGTTTAAAAACGTGCTATGTGATTCTGGAGCTTGTCTTAACATGATGTCCAAGGCAATTGCTTTGAGACTTGGTATTAGACACCTGCGCAGGACTAGAGCAAAGATTAGCCTAGCTGATGATTCAAATGCAACACCTCAAGGAATAACTCATGAAATTCCTTTGAGAATAGGAGATTGCATAGTGCCTGTCGACTTCTACATTGTCAAAACGAGAGATGCAACATATCTAGTGATTCTGGGATGGTCTTTTCTAGCAACTTCCGGAGCTATAATGGACTGGCCAAACCGGAGGATTTCATTTGCTAATATCGACGAAGATGTCTTCACAGAAGCTGTCCCATACAACAGCAAAGCAGGAAAACGTTCTGCAGCAGAAGAGTTTGAAGAAGAACTTTGGAGTGACGAAGAACCTGCTAGGTAAAGCAAGGAGATGTCGAAAAAGACTTGTCTTAGGACAAGGTCTTCTTCATTGGAATAAGTCACGTCCAACACC